CGTGTTGCTCATGTTAGTACAAACCCGGTAATAAGTCAAATTCGGGGAAAAGGGGACGGGATTGTAGTTTCGACAATTGGAACATATCCGCTGTCATCTGTGAAACGGATATTCCATAACGGTCAACCAACTCGTGATGGCGTCCGTAAAATTAAGGAAACGTTCAGCCGTTAGGGGAGTACAAACAGGAAACGTTCAGGTTGGAACTTGAAATGGTCCACTGTAGTTATTTTCATACAAAAAAACAAAAACAATCCACGGTAAAAATGCGTTTCATACATCTCCTGTTTTAATCGTACAATGTGTAAGAAAAAAAGAAGGGTTTGGTTTAGCTAATGCAGGACACTTTCAAATGTGATCAATGTCATATTTTCGCTACATATCTTTTGCCAAATGGAAGCTAGGTTTAACTTGCCACTAATACACGGTAAATATCTTCCTCTATCTAATATCGCTTTGTCAAATCCGTCTTTCGTTATTTACATGTATCTGTTAACCAACCGATTCTATTGGAAAAATGAAGTCTGGGTTGAAACAAAGATTCATTACTTGGGTATTTACAAAGTAAGTAATAATTTCTGTTGGTGTCTTAAAAGCATGTGTGACATTGCATGTACATGTGTAACTGCGTATAACTGACAAAAAAGTGGCTGATTCGAATTTAATGGACTACAATTTTTTCGCCAATCAGCGTTAACTATATGGGTTCACGAAATCTTCGTGAGACATTTCGATAAACGGGATCATATAAAGATCTAAGGTTTTAATCAAACTGCACCAAGGGTAAACAAGATAAGATAAATCAATGCAACCAGCGTAACCTTTTTGTATGTTGTGGTAGATTTGGTTTTACAGTTAGAATCAAAATGACTAAAAGTTCAATTAGACTAGAAGTTACCATAAACTGTAACCATCGGGGTCAGCAGTTAGTAAGTGACCAGAAAAAGGAAACCGAAAACTGGCATTAATAACGCCATATATAAAAAAAAATACTAAATGTGTTTCTACGTGATTTCTGTATATGTAATCAAACCGTTACTTGTCCGCAAGTAAAATGAATTAGATAAATAAGTTATCTTTGAATAATAATAATAATAATAATAATAATAATAATAATAATAATAATAATCATAACATATTAAGTTATGATTTATTATCTTATAGTCCTCTAATTCACATAAACAGTAAAAATAGGGGCAAAAGATACCAAAGGGACATTCAGTCTCAGGTGCTCCGGAAGGATTGGCAGATCCTTCTCCACATGCGACACCTGTAGACAGTATTTTTAGGTTTTACAATTTGAGTTTTAACATTAGAAATCAGAATTAAACCTTTCGAATGACTTCTCAGAAAGCACTTTAAATATTCAATGTATGCAACACTATTCCGTAGCTTACTAAATCTACTGGGCTAGATCAATGTTGAATGGCATATCATTAATGTCTATCAAACTGCAGCTTGCGTAAAAGACAATTTTATACAAAGTATTCATGAAGCTAATTACCATTACAGCCCATTCTACTATTTTCGATAATGTACACGAAACATTTAATGGTTTAGAACTATATAAATTAAAATTACCCTCACTTTAAAGAGTCGTACCAATCTTAATAAAAAGTATCTGATATAGAAATAAGGTGGAGATGTGGCATGGTTGTCAATGCAACAACTATCCGTAGACCAAATGAACAAAGATGGGGACAAATATAGGTCGCTGTACAGCCTTCAACAATGGGCAATAAGCTATAACAAACCCTGTGTGACAAATACGAAACAATTGAAAAGAATAAACCAACGGCCCGATTTATTATACAACAATGATAAAAAAACAAAAACAAGAATAGAAGACACCGGCCATCAACAACCACTGAATTACAGGTTCCTGGCTTGGCTCCGAATGCGATGTTGTAAGATCTTATTGAACTGAAAACTAAAATGAAATACTAGACAGTTTCCGTTTTGAAATATCCGAAATACTCCCTTTCTAATACTTGCATTAATGCATTTATACATCAGAACAATCAGCGAATTATTTCGAAACAAACCATCTCACTCTTTGTTTTTATTTTCATTACTTTTTGAAATGATCAATTCACTGATATCAAATTACGATTCAAAATGTAATGTTGTAACAAGGATTATTTACACAATTGTTTCAAATGACGTGCAAGTTTTTTTCCTAAAAGTAAAAAGAATAAGATTTATTTAAAATTGATTTTAATAATAAAAATAAATAACGTTCAAGACTTTATTGTATATCTTAATTTGAAATATTCCCGATTACAACCGCCAACTTGCCGCGCCACCGCTAAAAGCGTAAAAAAAGCTTTATGATAACAAATTCTCCCGACTAAACGGAGGAATATATGTGAAAAACATTGATTTCACTGATGGTTGTGGTACAGTGTCGTATTCTAGAATTTACCAATTTGCTATACAGATAAAAGTGTACAGATATTATTTCCTAGTATCCTGCTACTATCATTCAATAATACGTATATTGTTTAGTACTCGGTGAAATAACTCCTGGATTACCCTATACGATTTTATAGATTTTGTTCTCCCTATGTGATGAACGAAACAATCGTGGTCAACAGCATATTACCAACACGTAAGGCAATTGAAAATAAGGCATGTGTTTAAATTATTTGTCTTCCTAGAATCAATGCAATTACTGAACATAATAACTACTCTTAAATACATAATTTTAGCCCGAACAACACGGACAATTAACATGCGTTATGCTCATTGGTCACTTGCATATTTTCCATTTGAACAATATGACAGTAAGAACCCTTAAATCCCATACAAAGAAGCAGCATCAACAGAAAAATAACCACAAAGGCGAAACAACAGAGTAAAATAGCCCCACCTCAGAAGTTCTGATACCCTCAGAAACAACATAAAAAAACCAACAGGAAAACACAAGAATCAATTTGACGCATGCTCTCATCGAGACTCTTCGTAAACAAAAACTATACAATCATTCCAAAATGTTCGGTAAAAATTTTTAAAAACCAAAACATCAACTAGGAGACTACAAAAAGGTCAAATAATGGCAGACAACATAGTCTTCCTTTACAATATCAGAATAGTGAAACTCATGAACGTACAATGATACGAGAAGACATTGCAAACCTCAACATGTAACAGATACTGAGTTATTGGAAGAATTATTCAACTTAATTGTAGAGTAGAAGAATCGCGATATGAAATTTTTTTTTATTTAACCTTTTCAGATATGCACGCAACCATGATTTCTTTGGACAGTAGAAAAAAAAACTAATACATTTACTTTTTTTAAACGTAACTACTGTAAACCAACTAATTTTCGCGAGTGATTTATTTACACCTCTTTCGCGAGAAGAAAAAAACGTGAATATAAAAATCGCGAATATTTAAAACTTAAAATTTTCTTTACATTAATACATAAAGAACAAGAATGTGTCCATAGTACACGGATGCCCCACTCGCACTATTATTTTCTATGTTCAGTGGACCGTGAAATTGGGGTCAAAACTCTAATTTGGCATCAAAATTAGAAAGATCATATCATAGGGAACATGTGTACTAAGTTTCAAGTTGATTGGACTTCACTTCATCAAAAACTACATTGACCAAAAAATTTACCCTGAAGCGGGATAGACGGACGAACGGACGGACGGACGGACGGACGAACGAACGAACGAACGGACTCACAGACCCAAAACAACATGCCGCTCTACTATCGTAGGTGGGGCATAAAAATTAGAAAATTGCGAAAAATTAATCGACGCGATTCGACTAGAAAGAGCTAAACGCGAAATAAAATATCTGCTAAATATGTTTATATATACCAGTACTATGTTCTATTTGTCTATTTATATAGATTGTTAACACTTTACCTCTTAAGTACGAAAATGTTAAAGCTAAACACACGCCATTGTCGACAACATTGTAAACAATACTATATATCTTGTAATATCAAAAATGGATTGTGACCTCCCAAATCTTTACTTTATCATCAAATGTGCCCTTCCAATTTCGGTAAATATTTTTTTTAAATATAAGGTTATGCATAATTTCCTTTTAGCATGTTAATGTACATTTGTGTCAACAAAAATACTGGTAAGCTTAGTAAACAATCTGTCGATAAAGATCACGTATTGATGCTTGAAAGTGACTTGCGTTGCCCTTAAAAAGTCAGTGAGTAAGATAATATGACCCGATTTGAATCTTGTCAAACTATGATTATATAGTCAAATATGATTACAAAATAAAGTCAACATATACAGTTTTCTCAAGTTATTGATCAAGTAGTTCTTGATAAAGTACTTCCCATATTCAAAAGATAAAATATGAAAGAGAGATTTGCAAGACGAGAAAACGTTTTCATAATAAAGGGGTAGTACGGTTGTTTTCCCTTTTCATTTATTTCATAAGCAATTTTATTTCCTCAACTTTTTGTATCTTTGCTGAAATGCACGGTTTTATTATACTTATCGACGTAGCTGTCTGACATTTTCTCCCAGTCGCTAATATTACACTGAGACGGCACGATTTGGTATCAACTGGTTAAAACTTTAACTCTTCATTCTTTGGCTTCCTCCTGTATTTTTTCTCCTATACTGGTGTCATATGGTTAAGTGTTTTTTTTTTAAACTGATTTTTATTGTTCGTTTTTTCTGTATACTTTTTGTTTTACAATTTTGATTTCAAAAGGGGAAGGGTGGAGTGGGGATTAGAAAAAAAATATACTAGTAAACCTCTACATATTCATGTGTCAGTAAAACAAAACCAAAACAAACTAAGAGCCAGTGGTTATCTTTACTTGTGTATATTGTGTGCTGGTTCTATTTCATAATATAATAATAAGCAGGTCTTCGATTTCAAGAGGAAAAATAATTTGAATGTCACAGTATGATTTCATAGTTTTATTATTTTTCCTCACAAAACTTATAAACTGGATCAGAACTTAATGCAGCGTAATTTAATAAAGAAATATGAATAAAGATATTTACCTTGATACGCCGCATGTGATGCAGATATCACCAGATAAACCATAACCAAATCCAACATTGTTATTTTAAAAATGTTCAGTAGATGTAGATTTAAATCTTTTGATCTCTTAACCCATCGTTAAGTCCTTTGATTATCCTTCAATTAAATCTTCCTGCGGAAGTCAATATTGCCAAAATGTAATGTTACAGTGATGTGAAAATTACATGGCTCAACTCTTCTGAAATTGACACACTGCCTTTCGCATCTGGTCACCTCCAATATCACAACAGAGTGAACTAAGGTTATGTAGACTGAACGTTAGCTGAAGCCTCAGATGAGCCTGCTCGTCAAATCAGTTTCTTATAATGATTTTAACACCGTAAACTTTAACGTTTCTGATTGAATGAGAGTGGTTTTGTGAGATGGCGATCAGCAAGCTTTCTTAAACAGCAAATCAATACAAATACTCATAGTGTAAGACCTCTGTTTACACTTGTCAAGCTTGATTTAAAGAAAGAATTGCTAGATTCATATCCATCAAGCTTAGTTTATTCAATAAAAATTACATTCCTTTTAAAAATGTTAGTTAAATCTCAACTGCTCCTTTCACACAATGTACCGGCCACTTGAATATCACAATTAATTTTTCTTTATAAAGAAAAGTGATTTACTTTCTCAAGTGTGGACGGGTGAAATTTATAGCCATTTTCCAAACGGTCACATAAGTAAGACACATACTTAGTATATAAATACTTAACTTTGAAGACCCTGTCTTTGAAATTGACACAGTATATTCAGATTGTATATTAATTTATTTGTCTGTACCTTTGAACCTTTTCTGTGATCAAAGAGGGCACTTATATCTGCTTTTTGATTCAGTAGAAGAAAAGAGAACTTTGTGTATTAAATTGATCTGATTACGATTATCTACGACCTTAATATCTCATTTCATCAAACAATTATCTTGTTCTCTTTCAAGTCGAACATAGCTACATACAGTATATTGTTTTTGTCGGCTTATCTACATTAACTGTCTATTTTATGTTACTGTCATTTCTCGTTAAATATTGCTTATAACTATAAAAAACAGACAGAGAAAGCAAAACATAGGGTTAATGTCAGACAACCAGAACATCACAATGAAATTCGTCATTTTAGAAGCTGAAGAATTATGGGTAGTTTAATTGTTCGTTCCCCCAAAATGACTGAATAACGTCACGTCATTGGTCGAATTTCAATCATTTAGGTCATAAATAGCCAATCACAACGTTTTGGTGTACGTTTTTGAAAACTTTGCCCCTGCATTAGACTTTAACACGGCAAAAAAAAATAAATTACAAAGTCTCTATTCGATTGGTATTAAGTTGAGTTAATATTTAACGAACAAACTATCGTTTCGGATGTAGAGTTGGATAAAATATCATTTCGGAGCATACGAAATTTGTCCCCCTTTTAGAGCGGTCATTTGCTCGTAATATTGCGTTTCTACATACTGTTTCCAATTTTCTGGTTTTGCTTTTTTTTGTGTCTTTTAAATTCTTCATCAAATATGTTATTTTAAAAAACAGTCTTACCAGGCAATTATGATACATAATACGAAAAATATTACAGACATGATATAGAAAAAATAGGTTTGCGATTCTTGCGTAATGAGCATTAAAAGTCAATTTAAGTAGCTTTGTTCAAGCATGTGTGTTGGATTTTTGCCTTCACATTTAAATCAAACGGAATAAGTAGAGTATTTCTTTGTCTTCATATTCACTCTGTAACCAGTTTTACATAACAAAATTGAACTTAATCATGTTTCTTTTCCAAAATCCCGACTGTCAGGATTTCAAACGGTTGCTTTGGTCACCATTTTATATCGGGTAGCTGATAGACGGGTTGATATTGATTACCAAAATATTTATTGAATTTTTTTCTCATATTTTTTGTATTTTACAATGTTCAGAAATATATATTAATTTGCAATATTTACTATTGCATAATTTTTCACAACGACCCGACGACTTCCTAAAATTATCTTTTTATTCCTAATATAATTTTGACACTTTAATAAAATAAATCATTTTTTTAATCGATTGGATTTTGTTTTTGTAATATCCAGCGGCGGGCATAGCTTTCAAGCACATTTGTAATATCCTGCAGCGGCGGGCATAGCTTTCAAGCAGATTTGTAATATCCAGCGGCGGGAATAGCTTTCAAGCACATTTGTAATATCCAGCGGCGGGCATAGCTTTCAAGCACATTCAGGACGAGAACAGATAAAAAAATCAATCAGACAACTTCTGCAACTCGCGTCAACAAAATTAAAGGCTAGACATGTCAGACTGTCATTTGATGGAAATGTTGTTTTGAATAAGTTAAGAAATATGAAAAAGGCCCCCTAAGGACGACTTATTTCTTCCTTTCTCATCGTGTTTCTGCATATTTCCTTTTTTTTAAATTCACGTTTTTACATTATTCATAATTGGTGCTGAAAAGATGATTTTTTAATATATGTTTTTAGGACGTTCCAGACTTCTCTTTGTATATTTTCGGAAGAGGAACTTGTAAATATCTGCTTTGTCTCCAAATAAAAACTGATATTGATGCAGCCTAAATAGGAAAACGTTTTTTTTACATGTATTTCTATATACACTATTATGAATATGTATAGATTTTAAATGCAAATGTATTAAATTTTGTCTTTGGAAATTCAAAATTTACAATAACAACTGTTTTAATCAAAAACTAATTAAACAATAACAATCCCTGCAGTCTAGGTTGCGATCAAATAAAAAAGAATTTTGTGCTAACATTATGATAAAAATATTCTTACATGTAACCATTTTAATGCATGCATTTCTTTTCATTCACACAAGGATGTTTATAAAGATAACACTTGGTAAATTCTTACTAAATGCATAATAAACTAACGGGAGCTAAGCTTGTTATTTTGTGATCCAAATCACAGATCAAAGCTTATTTATTCAAGAAAGTGTTTCATACGCCCGTGAAAATAATAATACAACGAAATAGATAAAAGATACGTATGTAATCTATATCCTTGTAACAAGATTGTCTGTCAGTATATGAAAATGATCACAGCAGATAATTTGTCAACAAAAAATATAAATATTAGCGGTTAGGGATGAGTTGTACATATCACTTGTTACACTTTCGTATGCAGCTCACAAAATGCCATCATCGTAATGGATGTTAGCATGCAATATTTGTCTTAAATTACATTTTGATTTTATTTCAAACAAGCTACAGAATTTTATCTAAAAATCTCACCTTTATAAAGGAAACTATAGTATAATTTAGTTAAAAGAATTCAATTAGTATCTGTCAAAGAACTAACACTCGCATTCCTAACAGTGACACGAAATGTATGGTACAATGTATGAGTTAAAAGTACTAATGTTCAACAAAGCACGAACCTTTGTGGTGAAGGGTTAAAGGGCAAGTAAAATAAATTTCTATCCAGCTGGTTATTTTTGATAACTACATATTTCTACATAGGTGTCCACTTGATCGACAAACAAGAATTAGTTTCTGACAATTTCAAATGATAAATTTACGTTCATGCTGTGAATATTAATTTTGGTCAAATAAGGACTTGACTGAAAGAAAAAAATCAGTGCACAAAATGAAGTGGTAATTTAAAAAATTTGCCCCCAAAAAATCCACTTATTTGATTTCAAAAGTTCGGTTGATTAGGATGTTTAAATACGTAGCCACGTTCGTTCGGGGTGCAGACGTGTATAGAGACTGACTTGCTATCTTCACGTTAAAAAGATTTCGAGACAGCTTTTTCAGGGGTCTGCGGTTGACTTGTTGCTCAGCCAAATTTCTGCCCCTATCGCGCATACTTTCATCTATTTAAATCGCAGTCAAAAGTTACGTACTTCATTCGACCCGACCGTCTTTGCAGATTTATTGATTAAAGTTGTTTTCATCCAAAATTTGCATGAAGTATTTGTTACTGGACGTTAAGCAAGCAACATTCAATCAATTTCAATTTCAGTTCCGTGGAAACATACAAGGTGGTCATTTCATTACTTTGAAAGAGGAAATAATGACCATAAACAAACGTATAATGGAAAAGAAGAATGCATAATTAATTTTATTTACTTATTTAGTTGTGTTCATAATCATAACTTTCTGTCGCTGATAAAAATACCAAGAATACAAAATATCTACGGCCATTGATGTTTTTGTTGGAAGCAATGTTGAAATGTTGAAAGCACAATTACTTAACTACAAATGAAAAATATTCCATTCCATGCACATGTTTAATTTGTCATTGTATTATTTTCCTTACATTGCGTGTCACGACTGTTTATCCTTTGAATCCTCCTAAACTTATTGCTGAGATTAGTAAAAAAATTTAATTGCTCTTTAACTTACTCATGACAGGTCTTTAAAACGTTATTTGATACAACTGCTTTAAAACAATTTGAGGTTCCATTACTGTGGTCTGACTATTCTAATCACGCGTCTCTAATTATTCCATGCAACGTAACTTTTATGTTTATCAATAAGTGTGATTTTTTAGAGCTTTTGGTATAATTATATTATCTTTTTCGTGAATAAAGTATAATATTTAAAATATATTGCCATATCATTTCCTGAATGTATTAGGCACAGTTGTAACAAGTAGATTAATATACCAACCAAATCTTGGAAATGTACCAGGCGCTCTCGAGGGGAGTTTAGCGTTTCATAGAAAGATTTTCCATGCATTAGTTATAATTTCGTCCTGATTCCTGATAATTCATTCAACTAATATATAAACTACTTCTTTAATATGGAAAAGATAAGAAACACATTAGTTGAGGTCATCATAGTACCGTCTTCAACAATCGACAAGACTGTCTATATATATATAAATGAAATATACCAAGCCTATCTCGCCTGAGGCCGAGCTTAGAAAGTTGTTTAGGAATTTAAGGGACTACCAAAATCTGTTCTCAACACAAATTTGATAATGACAAAAACAAAATGCAATGGCGTGAAAGCTCTTTATAGATATATTTTTATATGTATAATGAAAAGGTATGTTTCGTATACAAACAAGTTTTTCCGTTGTCTATAGGAAAGGTTCTTTTATCTTATATAACACATGAAATTTCTATTTCTGCGGGAAGTCTTTGGCATGGAAACTTTGATGATATGAAACTGTTTGATACAATGATGTTACCTTTATTATTACTTGCGAAGAGATTTTAGGACCATGCAAAACTTATATAAGGTAACAGTGTAGTTTAGCTATGTTTAAATCTCATCAATTACAGGACCTACCGATTGTATTTATTGTTAATTGGTTCTCGTCCTGAACATGCATGAACTATTTGCTACTAGACGTTAAGCAACCAACAATCAATCAATCATCATTCAAATCTCAAAAATCCATGAAAACACAGATCAAGGTACTCTTTGGAATGCCGATTGTCTGTTTCAATATCAATCTACCAAACTCAACAAATATATGGTCGATCATTTTGATAATGTGTATTTGTTTTTGGAATCAGTACGGTTCTTCCAAAAGTAAGATTCTTTTAAAATGACATTAAACAAGAAAATTGTATTTGCGAATCCCATTTTTTTGTAGACAAAGGTTATATTTAATGACACCATTAACATATATAGAAT